TGGCTCAATGGTAACGCGCTGGTCACGGAACCTGAAGGTCGCGGGTTCGATCCCTGCTGGTGGGGTCGTGGGTGCGCACTGCTGAGGAGTCCCATACTAGGACGAAACAGCTGTCCAGTCCTACCAGGTTTCCTTTGTTCCTCCAACTCATGTCAGTCTTCGATGAATAACAACTTGAAATATTTCCAAATCTCCACAACCCCCTCAAAATTTAATTGAACTAGTGCTCGTTGGTGACTAGCTTCGAGAAGTATTCCCGAAGTTCCAATGACAAGTCGTGACCGGTGGAGTCAAGCCTGATGGTCGTGAGGACAAATACTCAACGATGGTATTATGTACTTGAACATGAGTGAATGAAAACTTCATTAAGTTATTTAAGTCATAATTTGTGAATTTCGGTCGTTGATTGAACCGAGTCGATCGGTCACCATTGGCATATGGACTTCTGGGTAGGTGACTCAGTAATGCCGGCATTTCCGAACTTAATATTACTGATTAATAGTGTTTAGCAGTGGAATCCAAGACGTGAGTTTCATTCTTATTTAGGAATTGTCAGCTTCACGTATCTACCTCTAAGTAAGTGATATTTTTCCTACTAAGACTCAAACTCAATCAACCAATCCAACCAACGACGGAGATTCATAAGTTGTAACACAAAAGACTATATTGTACACATCGTACAAGAAGTGATAATTGTGAAGCCTTGGCCTTGTGGATAACTCTCTAATGTTTAAAGCTATTTGTCTTGGGTTGAAGTCTCAGTGGGGACAACATCACCAACTGGGAGCCAGGTAAATCCAGCTGACGAGTCCCAAATGGGGTGAAGACGCGTTAGGTCATTTTTAAAACTATTAACATGTCATTAAAGGCTATCTTGATGATCATGCAGTGAAGATTGATATATTGCAAAACTAAATTCGAACTTCAACTAGAAACTTTTTTCAGGTAAGTCTGCTTAAGAGCATAACTGATAAGCTGTGTTACATGAAAACAAATTCACCGCTAAGTACCAACACCACTTGCGAGACCTAATAGAATATGATGATAGACGCGGTTAGTGTTCAGCAGTCCATCCTCTTAACTTACACCAATAACCTTTTTCATTTCATGACCAGCTGCTGGAAAAGTGCTAGCTGAGATTCTAAAACCCAATGCCAAGTTTAGTTCAGAAGTATGAAATTTATTCCATGGTAAAATATCTAGATTCAAACAGCATGTAGTGGGTGAGTACAGGTAGTTAGTTATCTGTTTGTTAACTACGGTATTACTCCTAAAAGCAACTGATAGCCAATTTTCCTCTGACTTCATATATCTTGGAGATTGCAGCATAGTTCATGTAGTGAAGTTAAAGTACAGTGACAAGTCATATACTTCAATCCAGCTCACCCAACTCACTAAGTTAGTTAACTCCTAGGTAACATAAAAAAGTCTTATGTGAACTTGAACCATGACCGCATTCGAACAGACGAATACCGGGTTTCCTTCCCGATACTTCACCAACTCATCTACGAGGTCCAACTGCTAACCAGATTTTTATTTCACTCCAGTCACTAAGGGTTTCGTCCAACTACTATATGAATTCATGATACGCTACTACCGCTTGATCATATTTACACTGGTTGTGTAGTCAGGACTTCCCAATTCAGTTCAAATGTAACTGAATTAGAGAGGTGGAGCATCATATTGATTAATATTTTGACTATGTGGGATAGCCGTAGTTTGGCAGACTTGTACTTATCATCATCCAGTATAAATTCTAGTTTGCGACGACCATTTCACATAGTCAAAATAATAAACTGATCACGCAAAAAATACATATTATTGAGATATGAGGAGTAGAGAAGCAGTTTTATTGTCTATAGAAGAGAGACCAACTGGCTGCTTAAATGGTTCTCTGGTCTTAACATATTGTGTCGAATCTCCTTCATCACCAATTTATTACCAAGAAGAGTACAGTTAAGACACAGGTGTAAATCATACAATGTAAAACGAGAGGAAAGTTTAAGAAATATGAATAGTAAAGGCAAAAAAAGTAGACTGCACTAGAACTAGTCAGCTAGGTCATCATGAAGTCATGGGCATATTTCCTGTCGTTATTTTTCAAGGCTTATTCTCAGCCTTTACACTAATAAGCAGGAACAGTAAGATGTTCACCTTATTTTCTGCATTTTGGTTTGTAAAATACATTGAAAGACGAAATGAAAGGTCTACGTTTGTTACACGTTGGAAAAAGCTCAGAAAAGTATTTGGAAGCTCTTTTTATCTCCTCTTAGTATAAGAAATATGAAATGTTTGATATTTTCTGCTTTCAACTGACTTAGAGACCGTAAAACATTAATTAAAGTCAGTAGGTTAGCTTTGTACTACATATCTATCAAAATATACGGGATGAGTAGTCACTACACCAAGACTCAGATACACAAAATCCTGACAGTGTTTGATAAACAGATCATAATCACACCAGATGGAATAGAGGGTTTTGCAGCTGAGTTGGTACAACAGTTAATCATCAGCTTGATGGATGCTTATTTTATCTAATTTCTTCTTATAAGTGTATTTATCATCTCCATACATATAGCAACCTCTCCTGGTTAACTAGTTCACTAGTTACTAGCCGTTCCTAAGCCCGGGTAAAGAGGGAAGGTTGGGCATAGGGCTAGCAAAAGTGGGAGTCCTGAACGCCATAAAGCTACTGAAATGTGGGAAAGCAGCAGGACCAGATGGGATCCCACCAGAAGCACTGAGAACAGACGCAGAGACAACAGCGGACATGCTCACACCACTATTGCAGAAGGTGTGGAAGGAAGAGAAGATACCTGGCTAGTGAGTGGAAGAAGGGTTACCTTGTCAAACTGCCGAAGAAAGGAGACCTCAGTGCTTGCAAGAACTGGCGCGGAATCACTCTCCTGTCCAACCAAAGCAAGCAAAATATTAAGCCGCATCATCTTGGAGAGGCTAAAGGATGCACTGGATTCAAAACTACGACCCGAACAGGCAGGCTTCAGGAAGTACAAATCATGTACAGACCAAATTGCAACACTTCGCATTATCATAGAACAGAGTATAGAATGGCAATCAGCTCTCTACCTCAACTTCATCGACTTTGAGAAGGCCTTTGACAGCGTCGACCCAGAAGTAATTTGGAAAGTGCTTCAATACTACGGAGTACCGCAAACCTTTATCCGCCTCATTCAACAACTATATGAAGATGCCACATGCCAAGTAATTCACAATGGGAAGCCCAGTGATGCTTTTGAAGTGAAGACAGGAGTGAAACAAGGTTGCCTACTATCCCCCATGATATTCCTGATTGTGGTCGACTGGATCATGCAGCAAACAGTAGGCAGCGAGAAGAGGGGGATACGTTGGCTAGACTGCGGAAAAGAACCTAGAAGACTTGGATTTCGCCGATGAATTGTGCCTAATGTCACACAAACTTGAAGATCTACAGGCGAAAACTAACAAGTTAGCAGAAGAGGCAGCGAAGACGGGTCTTCAAGTGAATATAGAGAAGACAGAAGTGATGAAGATAAAGCACCACCACCATCAACAACAACAACAAACTCCAGTCACCATCAATGGGAGAAACTTAAAGGAAGTAACCTCCTTCATCTATCTAGGAAGCACTGTTTCAACTACAGGTGACGGCACAGACGAGGATGTCAAAGTCAGCCAGGACCGGAAAAGCAAGACAGGCGTTCATTAGCCTGAAACCAGTGTGGAGATCTTCTGCACTGCACTCAGCATGTGGAACAAGATTCGGATTTTCAACACCAACGTCAAGTCAGTGTTTCTGTATGGCTCAGAGACTTGGCGCGTCACGAAAGGGATTTCCAATAAACTACAGACACTCACCAACAACTGCTTACGCTCACTCGCTACTGAAGATCAGATGGCCAGAATAGTGAGAATAAGCAACAAGGAGCTCTGGGAACGAACCAACCAAGAACCTATCAGTCAACAAATATGCACTGGAAGGAAGTGGAGATGGATTGGATTAGGCATACACTGAGAAGGCCGACTGGGGACATCACGCTTCAGGCCCTCGAGTGGAATCCCCATGGGAAGCGACGAGTTGGACGTCCGAGGGTGACATGGAGGAGATCGTGCGAGGAGGAAATGATAGCTTGTGGGCTGTCGTGGAACCAGGTTCAAAAGATCTCAGAGAACAGAGGTCACTGGAGACGTGCTAGTAAAGCCGTATGTTCCACTAGGAACCCAAGGGACTAATAATAATAATAATACACATAGCAGTGAATCACGTAGGGCACGTGATACAAATGAACACAGTGAAAATAGTTTTCTTCTTGTTGGAGGCTTCGTCCTTTTATCTATACTTTTGTGGCTGTTTAGCGTTCAGATCAGTTTATAATCAGGCTTCACAATGCACTGAAGAGTAAATAAGAAGTTACGTAGTGTAAATATGGATTTAAAACAGCAGAACAAAATGAGTAAACGAAAACATAATCATGGTATAAGACAATTGTTGAGAATGATTACTGTTTTATGATGGCCATGGCAAACGAGAAGCTTTAGCATACTTCTTATGAATGGTCTTCTATTTTTAGTTGCTAATGCTTCATCAATGTACAGATTTCTTATTCCCGCTTTTTTTAAACGATTTGATCGTGGTACGAACAAACAGGGTTTCCATAAGTAACCAATTCTGGTGGTTTCACACCTGGAGATGCATTCTCGTTTTCCCTTTCTTATCCAGAATGGACAGTGTTCACCCACTTGGTTCTGAATCAGGTACATGGTATGCCCAACAGTGTCAGCTATACAAGAGTAGGTAAAATGATATACGGACAGTGATGTCAACCGATACCCTATCTTGTCCGTCGTATGCTAATGAGTAAAATTCTTTGAATGTTTGAACAGATTGTGTGTTATTGAAGACATCATTCCAATTTGAAAGCTGTATATTCCCTCATATATCTTTCTATTTCAATCAGGCTAACAGAACTCATTGTTTATTTTTTAATACTTCATCCTTATAGAGAAATCTTGCAGACTCAGAGAAAGAACTTATAGATCAATTGAATACTTTAATTGCTGCAATCGAAACAAAGAAACAAGAGTTAACCGAACGTTTACGGGATGAACGATCGAAAAGAATTCATTGTTTAAAAGATCAAATAACTCGTGTTACCTCAATGTTGACTAAATCAACTGGCCTTATTCAATTTTGTATTGAGATGCTCAAAGAAAGCGATCCATCTGCATTTCTTCTGGTAAAGTTATTCATAAAATTTCAATCTTTATTATTATTATTATTGTGACTTACTAATGCTTTCTTTTGTCCAACAAAATTTTAGTGATAGAGTTGAACTGGAAAATGAAGTCCGAGTGCTTGTTAGGTAGTCAAACTACAACATCGCGATCACGAAATGATCTAATAGGAACTCTAAACTACTAGTTTTTATTTCTCTCTGTAAAGGATAGCCATCTAATATCAGCTGAGTAGGGAGTTGTTAGGTACATTCTCTGAAATTCTAAAGTATGCGGGATTCCCATTTGAAAATGTTTAGAAGAAACTTATTCACCATAAGAACTGAAAGTCTAGAGTATTTCTTCATCTGGAACTGGTCAAGCAGGTTTGGATTGTCATATCTTGACATATAAATGCAACAGTCATTCATCATTGAATGTTGAGTTTCCGCTATTTCATGACAGCACCTGTTGTTTATGATTTACGAAGTGGTTTTCTTTCTGTTGTCAACTACAAGTGTTCAGCATACCAACGCTTCGCTGTTTTCGAACCTCAGATACCTAGGACATGTGGACAGTTAAACTGTAGGACGTTTCAGTGAGTGAGTGGTAGTCTATAATGTCTTATTTCAAGGATCTCTGTGGTACTATAACAGCTGCATTACTAGCAAAGTGTAGTTAGTGACTCTTAGTAGTAGTCATGTTATCATACTTTACTACATAAAGTAATTATGCTGGATAAATTATACATAAAAAGTCGTTTAACAATTAGATGACATTTCTAGCGCGTCTTTTGAATAACTCGGTTACATTATTGTTTATCATAGGTTTCTCAATCACTTATATCACGAACACAAAGTGCAGAACAGAATTTTATTCAAGAACTTCAACACATCTCCCAGCTAATGATATTACTGGATCTTTGTTATCACTTGCTTTATCATCGAGTAAAGATTATTCTCATCATTCCCCTAAGAAACGATCAATGAAGTCAACTGAAGAAGTTGCTGTGAAGTATAGCAATACTGGTAGTGTTATAGGTGGTGATAGCAGTCCAAAGTTTGCAAATAAGACCACTGATCTGTTAGGAGTTAACAGTGTTGAAGCAATACGTCGGGCAATTTTAAATTTGGGCCTAGAAGAAGATCAAAGTAAGTGATGTCATATGATGTGGAAGAACTTTAACAGTAGTGTTTCCATCAATTTTTTAATTTATCATTAATTTTTGAATAAATATCTGGTCGGACTCAGTAACTAATAAAGCGGTTAGGGGTATTGTTTTCATTAATGCAAATCACTTTAAGAAATGGCGACTACTAGAATGGATGAACAACTCTGCCTTCCTACTTCAGTGATTCCAAGTAGTGAATCCCTTGATTTGGTTTGAAAAAGTGTATAACAACGGAAGAAACTGCATGGCAACTGTTTTTACGCTAAAATTTTAGGGGATAAACTAAATTGTTACTTTATTCAGTGGTTAGGTTTGAGTTCATTTACTCATCAGACTACAAGAATTCGGATAGATACATTAACATAAAGCCTCAGTTTACTGCAAACGTCTTATAGTTTTTCAAATAAAATCTTTTAGCTAAAACATCTTCATAGTTCCGTACATTACGTGGATTTAAATTTTCAAAAGATAAATAAACTTAATAATTAAGGGAGAATTCTAATTATCTATTGTTGAATTTCCTGGGGTATGACAAAGATTCAGACCAATTAGAAAGTCTTTGAAAATTAGGAATTACTGAACACCTGTTTCACGATAATTGTAGACTCCTCAAAAGTGTTCATTCATGAACCCATGCTTAAGAGAACGTAAAATAATCAATCCTCGTGATGAGCAAGTGATTATTCAATAACCATTTAAGAATCCATTGATCTATGTTTATCCCTTCTTTCACTTGTCATTATAGCGCAAGTATCATCCAATGTCACTGAAAAGTATTTGTAATCTTACCCAACTTTCGTAAAGCATGGGTTAAGGGATTTTATTTTAATTTGGGAAAATTCATTACTAACCAAGTCACTAGTGAACAGTAGAACGATATTCAATTTGAAGATTTGTGGTAAATGATCAATTTGAGAATGATTAATAAACTGAACTTTGACGCTTCTCACAGATGAGTGGTTTTTCTAACTGCCCAAATGCGTTGTCAATAGAAGTTTTCATTGAAAACCAGCTAGCCAAGATCACAGTATGTGACCCTTGACATGAAAGTGTCATGAACTGGCGAAATACACTACTGAATAGCTTGAGTAGTTAGAGACCACTTACTCTGCCCCTAAAATTTTACCAGCCAGATTGGAGTGACTTAAACTCTGGACGGACATTTCACTCATTTAAGCCTTAGCTGATCAGTGGTGTAGTCGGACAATTTTGGTTTATAGGGCTGAATACTCTTGGGTCGCCTTTAATTCGTCAACCACTTGCATTTGATAATTTTATATGAATGTATTCTTGAGATGAATGAGAATTTTTAATTTAGAAGTAGTATTCGTCATGGACTGACATCACTGGAAGTCTGGGAGCACTCGACAGCTGTCTCATCCAACTGGTATGGGACTCCTCAACAGTACGCATCCACGACCAAGCTAGGGATGGAACTCAGGACCTTCAGGTTTCACAGCGAACCCATCAACCATTCAACCACTGGGTCGGTTTCCAGTGGTTGACAATTTCTAACTTGTGTCACTTCACGACATAGCGCGACTGTCACCCAAGGTCTTCGGTTAGCATCCACTTGACTTCCGACTGGTTGACCACACAGGTCACGGCTTCTCCTTAGAACTTAGTGATATCCATCTGGAAGCAACTCACTAATGAGCACTATAAAGTAATGTATTTTTGAGATGAATGTGGATTTTTAATTTAGAAGTATTATTCATCATGGACCAGTTGGAAGTGAAGTGGATGCTAACTGAAGACCTTGGGTGATAGTCGCTCTATGTCGTGATTTGACACAAGTTGGAAATTGTTAACCACTGGAAACCGACACAGTGGCTGAATGGTTAACGCGTTCGCCATGAAACCTGAAGGTCCTGAGTTAAATCCCTAGCCGGATCGTGGATGCGTACTGTTGAGGAGTCCCATACTAGTTGGACGAAACAGGTGTCCAGTGCTCTCAGATTTTCACTGGTTCCCCAACTGATGTCAGTCCATGATCAATACTACTTCAAAATTTTATATTAGAGATACCGGTCCATTCGCCAGATTCACATGATTTGGCCTAATTTGTCTATATGATCCGAATTTGTTCGACTACACTGCTAAAGAGCTTCGCACTAAACAACCGAGACGGAAATCCTATGATAAAATCATTCTAATCTGGCCAGCAAAATCTACAGATCAACCTGACTGGTTTCTGGCTACTCAAGCTGTTCAGTAGTATATTTCGTTGTGGTGAATGGTTTTGAATAGTTCAACAGCAAATGACGAACCCTAATTAAAATTTTGTGTATAGTATTGTACTCAAATATGTCCTGAAAATAACTAGTCTCTTTTTTGTTGTCATAAACATCTGTGGGTTTTTTCTTAAATCTTCTCACTCCAGTATTCAGGTCACCATATGAAATTGTTTTTATATAAGCAAAGGAAATATTTACCAGTAGTCTTAACCAATGTATTAAATATATAATATGGTTTAAAAGTTTGCTCCATGATTTTTCTACAGTATAAGGCTTTGTTTATGATCAAACTGTACTATCTTACGTATGACTTCCAACGCTCTTTCTGAAACCTATTACAACGGTTAATGATGGATCAAGGCTAGCAGTGGAATCCAGGATGCGCATTTCGTCTTATTTAGGACTCACTGGTCAGCTGGATGTACCTGCTTCCCAGTGAGTGTTGTTCCCACCGGATTTCGGACCCTGAGCGATCGCTTCAAACGCCAGAGCGTTATCTACTATATCACCGAGCCACGATAGCCACTTCTTGTGCGACGGTGTAGTGGATAAGGCTCTGGCGTTTGAAGTGATCGCTCCCGAGTCCGAATCCCGGTGGGAAAAACATCACTCACTCGGAAGCGGGTACATCCAGCTGACGAGTCCCAAATAGGATGAAATACGCATCCTAGATTCCACTGCCAGCCATTATCCATCATTACCATCATAAGAGCACAGGTAATATCGAGGCATTCTCACAGGATCCCATATGCCAATGGAGACCGATCAATTCGGTCCAATCAACGACGGTATGGTATAAAAACAATTATACTGTTACAGCGGTGTTATACAGTGGTTATAAAAGCCATCAAAAATGAACGTATCTATACACGACTTTTGAAGAAGAACCAGCTTTCCAGACAAGTAATTATTGTACATTGATTGGTAACTGGAGGGTAACCAATTTCATTCTGTCTAGTCTTAAGTGTTGATCGAGTTCTATTGATCATTTTGCACTGTGGCCACCTGGCTGAAAGACTTACCATTGCGATACACTGGCATACATGTTAATTGGATGGAGAAGACAGCCAAAAAGCTCTTGATTCAGGTTTCATGCTTTTTGTCATTCGTCAGAAAGGCATATTTGCATCCTTAACAGAAGTGATGTCCCGCCTGAGATTGAAACACGCATCAGCCAGTGTTGCAATCGGAGACGTAACGGATGAGCTGTTCGGGGCGTGATTGAACTCCTTTAGAACTGGGTTGTATCTATCGAACAAGCATCTGTGTCATTGCATGTCCATGGCGAGTCTTCTAGGCTGGTAACCACATTGCAAACTAATCGATAGAATTCGACCAGGACTTAGGACTAGATTGTATGAAGTTGGTTACCATTAAGTGATCAATCAATGTACTTTACTTGGTCCTATGGAAAGTCAGTTGCATCTCGATAGCTTAGTGGTAACGTCTCTGACTACAGTACCAGGTGACAGGGGTTCGAACCTCTGGTGGGGCATCAGTTCCGTCAAGGATGCAGATAAACCCAGCTGACGTGCACCGAAGGGAAAGAAACCTAGGTCGAGCAGGGCCTCCGGCCGATTGGATCCATTAAACTCATAAGTAGTCCTTGTATTTAAAAACATTCTCTAACTGTGTCAATACTAGTGTGATATCGAAAAATATGTTGCAAAACTGGTAAGAGTGGTTGGTTTAGTGGTTAGAGTGAACTTAAAAGAGGTTTCCACGTCACACGAAATATCTTGATAACTGACACCACAGAAGAGAGACATAAGCAGGTGATGAATTATATCGATTGTAAGCGAATCCACTGTCTGATTAGGTAACGGTGTGATTAGTCAAAATATTAAAAGATTCACTTAGCAGATGGATAGGTATAGTAAGTAAAGCTACTAGTCAGATATTATGATATACAGTCAGGAACGTAATATTACTAACTAGAGTGAAAACAATTGGTGATATTAAAGACAGTCTGAATGCAGGCATCACATCCAACACCTGCAAATTAACCAGAAGACTGATTAATATATCACTGATACTGAAGGAGAATGTGTCGGAACTCCATTGTTTAAAGGTGACCTAGGTGAAACCTATAGTCAGGTTGCCTTATATTTGTATTGTAATCATCTGGAGTAATAGAAATTCACCAAGACAATTAACTTACCCATATGATTATTTTTCACATTTCAATATACTACAAATGAGGTTAACTGACTCCCTAGAAGTTATTGGTTTGACTTTCTGGGATAGTCATAGTTTGACAGACTGGTATTACTGACACTAGGTGATGACTGAAAATGTGGGATGCTGCAGGATTCAAACCAGAGGCTTCTAGGCCACTAGCCCAAAGCTTCATCATCCGAGTTATGGGACCCAGCTGCCGACTAGATATTTATTTCACCTCAACCACCAAAGGTTGGGTTGCATAACTGTCCGTTCATCGTATTCACACTGGCTACCCAATTAGGAGTAGTCATCGCAAGCCAAATCGGACTAAATTAGAGAGGTAAAGGATCCTATTGATTATGAGTACGGCTATCTGTGATTTGGTTTGTTGAATTACTATCTACCATATTTTGTTGAATGCAATATGTGATTGGTGTTTATTCAGTTTTACTTAGGTATACAAAGGTGCTGTTTGCTATACATTCTGGGCAATTTTTTCCCTGATGCAGATAAAATGATGTTACATGTTTATTGAAGTGGTCACCATTAAAGAATAAATTTATGCGTTAGTATATTTCTT